CTGAACGCTGCCGGGCGCGCTTTCTAGCGGCTGGAGTGACGACGCCGCGTGCCTTCTCCAAGCCCGGGCCTGCTGGCCCCAAGCTGTTCTTGCTAACCTGAGAGTGTTTCTCTGCGCCTGGCATCGAGGGAGGGGAATGGGGGGCCAGCCCTGACGTGAGGGCTTTGATTTCTTTTCACCGGGAGCCTGACTTGGGCTCCGACGCAGAAGCGGCTTCCCTGTGTGCTTTTGGTGGTCAACAGCTACTGCTCATCCTCTCCTGCTTGGGAGGCAGGAAGGGAAGCGGTGGACGAGCACCTGAGCACTAGACGAAGCAGAGGCACGCTCTGCTGAGCCTTCCGCCGGACCCACCTGCAGCGGCTTGGCTTGGTTGACTCACTACTGATGATTAGCCCTCGATACTGCAGCTGAGCAGGTGGGCAGTTTTATAGGCTTGGCTAAAACACCGGGGAGGTAGGGAAGTAGGTTGGACACTCCCTGGAGGAATGGCAGCCAGCAGAGGCGGCACTGCTTTGTCCAGTGGCCACAGGTTTGCGGGACTTTGATCAGGGTTTCGCGTCGGTGGTGACCAAGTAGCCTGTTTATGAGCTTGCCTGAGTGCTGCTCAGGGCAGAGGTCTGATTAGTAAGGTCAAAGACCGACAGGCTCCGCAAAGTAGGTGATGACCCGAGTGGGTCAACGGTTAAACCTGGCAGCTGGGAGGCTTGGAAGGTTGGATCCTCATTTCTCCTATGCTGAAGGATGAAAAAGATGTTGTGGGGGGAATTTGAGAGTGGGACAGCCATCCCCTGCTTAATGGCGGGGCATGTCCTGAGATGTGCGTCTCATCAGGGGACTGCACTGTCGTGCGAGCATCGTAGAGTGACTGGCGTGAGCCTGGTGGTCTGGCCTGCTACACGACACACCTAGGCTCTGGGATCGCCTTCTACTCCCAGGCTGCAGACTGCGTGGCTCGTTCCTGGACTGAACACCGTGGGCAGTTGTACCACAACGGCAAGTATCTGCATGCCTAACCGTATCCAGACACGGAGAAGGTACGGTAAAAGTGACGGTGTCATAGTAATCTTAGGAGGCACCCTGGTTTACGGGACCCTTCGTTGAGCAAAATGTCATCACGTGGTGCCGTGATGCCTAAGAAGTGAAGTGACTCGCGCCGTTCTCCCCCCTCCCCCCCCCGTGTCCTAGACCAGTCCAAGTGGACGGAGCCCTGGGGCACGGCTGCCCCAGCGCCACAGCGGGCGCCTGCCCTTGTTCCTGCTGCGGGGAAACTTACATGCAGCACTGGGCGAGTGGCGAGAGGATGGAGATTTCGTCGTGGGAGTGGCGTCCGAACCTGGGAGGAGAGACGGGCTCTCACAGGGGCCAGCAGCCCCTCCCCAGGCCCCCGCTGCTGCCTCTGCTCTCAGCCTTTTGTGACTTAGAGGCTGCAACGCAGGGGTCAAGACCGCTGCCTCCCCAGCCCCTCCGATTTGGGGCCACAGAAGCCTCTGCCTGAAGACAAGGGCAGGCAGTCCAGGCCCTCGTGGGCCAGCCCCAGAGAGCCAGCCACGGAGGGCAGGCCTGCTCTCAGGCCAGAGGACAAGAGAGGAGACAGGGCCCGTGCCCAGGAGGGTTCGTTCTCAGGGCCTCCGCCTCCTCGGCAGCTGCCAGGGGCGCAACTGGGCGGGGAGCGCCAGGCCGCATCCGCGGGACACTTACCCCCTGGCGTTGTCCAGGTGAAGGAGGAACCCATCATCCCCAAACTTGGTGAACATCTCGTAGTGGTGCCGGTCCATGTTTCCTGGCAAGGCGGGGAGAAGTCAGCCAGGGCCGGGAAGCCAGGGGCCAAGCCATTCCCCACCCCCGAGTGCTCTCCAGGGAGTGGAGGCCAGTCGGCAGCTCGAGGCAGGTGTCTGGGCCCAGGTCTCCAGCCGCGCTGTCCCCAGAGAGGGGGGAAGCCCGGCAGGCAAGCCCGGAGTGGGCCGCCTGCCAATCCCCCCCTTCCCCAGTCACGGATTCTCGTGTGCAGGAATGGGACTGCACCTCGCACGTGTGCTGGTGCTGGCTCTCCTCCAGCCGAGACCCTACCTGGGCCTGTTAGGGTCCACCCAAAGGCAGGGCGCTGAGCTGTCTGACGAGCTCTGGATCTCGGCATGCGTGCGAGGCCACCTTGTGATGGACTGCTTTTCTCGGGAGCTTTGCCGGGCCGGTAGGCCCGGCGGCTGGGTGACTAGTCCTGTGGCGTGTGACCTTGCCTGCCCTCTCGCCCGTGAATCGCACTTTTCCCCCTGCCTGCCGGGCTTCCCCTCCTGTGGTGCAGAACATGCAGCTTCCGTCTGCCGCCCCTCCTGGGCCTGTGACAGGGTGGTGTCCTGGCTGACGAGGCCCCCCCGCCGCGGACGGCTTCCAGCTCTTTGAAGACAGGGAAGCCCGTTACCCTCCGTCCTCCGGGACCGCCACCGCTCCTGAGGCTCAGGAGGTGCAGAGCTCCTCGGCCCTCGTGAGCCAGGCTGCGATGGGCCCCAGTCCACGGGGAGCTCCAGCCACAGCAGAGCCCGCTTGGGCCAGGGGCCCCGCCCACGGGGACCTACCTATCAGGAAGTCAAAGATGGCCATGTCGATGACGTTGAGAAGCCGGCTGCCGCCGTTGTACGGGTAGATCTGCCTCACCGTGTCGCAGTAGAGGGGGTTGACCTCCCACCTGGGGGGAAGGAGGCCTGGAGCTGGAGAGGCCAAGGGGCGGGGGGGCTCCTGCCCTCCTGATCCCGCCCCGGGCTGGTGGCAGCGTCCCAGCTGTCGGAGGACCCAGGCAGGGACACATGAGGCTGCGTGTCCCACGGGGCGAGTAGACGCCAGGGTGGCGGTGGGCCTCGCCCA